GAATTTGTACAATTGAGATACGAGGGTTTTAAAAGATATTGGAGCATATATAATTTTCTTGATCTTGCATCAATTATCGTTTCAATAGTTACGATGATAAATTATTTTAGAACATACATTAGATTGACTGAAATAAATGTTCCTGATGATCAAAGTGATTTTAATGTTTATGACCAATATCTTAAAGAATACGGTGTAACATTTTATTATGATTATAAAGAAGCCATAATTCCGCATGCTTTTTCGGTCTTGTTTTTATGGTTTGAATTAGTAAGTACCTACCATATATATTAAAAATATTTCTTTGTTATCATAGTGAATTAATTTCTTAATTTATTTATCTAGTTATTACTGATGCGATTCTTCTCGGGTAAATATCTTTATTATATTCATTTACTTTATAATTAAATTTGTGTATCATCAAAATTATTTTTTTATTTAAAGGCACTGCGACTTACATTAACATAATTATAAATATCTTAAAAGCTATTTGGCCTTTCCTAATGTTTATGGTAAATTTTATTATGCAATTAGTATTTAAATGAAACATACGAATTGATTAATTATTTATTTTTTAAAAAAAATGTGTAGTTAATGACAACCGTTGCTTTCGGTCATGCAATGGTATGCATTATTGGTTTCTTTCCATTTTTTTATCATCAGAGCTTTGCTATAACAAATCTTTATTATTTTTTTTAACTAAATTAGTATATCATTTTAAAACAACCTGAAAACCTTGATTTAAAGCCTAACGGCGACAGTTATAAAATGAATTCTTCGGACGGTACCGAAAACCTTAATATTACACAAGATTTTGATGTGAAAAATCCCAACGATAATTTTTATGTAAATTTTGCGTATTCTGTTATGGGAGTTTATTTTTGGATTCTTGGAAGATGGGATCAATTAGAACGTTGGGATTTCTGGCCAGTTCACGTATTTAGTATAGGTAGATATTTCATGTCCGATATATTTAACGTGTTAAATTATCATCATGTTAAATTTAAAATTTTTATTTTTATTTTTTAGCCGCAAGTATATTATTGGTTATCATCATGCAGAATTTGTTGGTCGCATTTATGACGGGTGTGTATGAAAATGCAAGAAATAATGTAAAGTTGGCGGTATTAGGTTATAGAGCGAATTTTATCGCTGATTATGAATTGTTAGAAAAACCAACCGGTAATTATAAAAGAAATCCGCGATATATCTACTATGTTGGAACTCCTGAATATCAAAAGCAATGGCTTGATAAAGCTGAAAAATATAGAAAAATTCATAAATCATTATCATTTGATGATATTATTAGTCAATTATCAAAAGACGATGATTCGGATAATGATGATATTTCGATTGAAAAACTTGATGAAAAATTAATGAAAATACAAGATGAGATGAAAAACGATGTAGCTTCAAAGTTTAATTCAGTTGAAAAGAGTATTAAAGAACTGTTAACGATCGTTAAGAGTAAATGAGCTATGTGATGATAATATTAGGTTAGATTTGTATTTATATTCAGTTGGTGGCGGAAAAGACTGACAATTTTTTTATAATCGTGAGTTTTGCGCCTAGGGATATGAATTTAATATCATTAGATTCGTCTCAATAAGATGAATTCAATGGATCTATAATTCATTTTCCTGTGATTACTGGATGTAAAAAATATCTTAAAATGTCATGTGTAGTGAATGACAATAAACACTGCTAATTTATTTGTCACTTTATCTCATAATTATCCCTTAAAGTGTAGGTATAAATTGGCTATAAAACATTGTAGAAAAATTATTTTAATATCTAGTGATTATAAAAAGATAAAATAAAGTTTATTAGATTTGTCATATTAAGATCAATATAATGATTATTAATATATATTAATTTTTCAATTTTTCAATTTTTAAAATAACTTATTAACTAATAATTGCAAGAAAATAAAATTTAGTTTGTTGGATTTATCTCATTAAAACTATTAAATGATTATATTTTTATATTTTTGAGATCAATAGATAGCAAGATTTAACTTTTTTCATAACAATTTATCTTATATTTATCTTTAAAATATTACTAATTTATTACATTTTTTTTTTGAATTTTAACTTAAAAAACCTCATAAAATTAATTTAAAAATTTTAAAGTTTAAGGATTATTTTAATTTTATTAAAATT